CACTGGACGGGAGCAACTATATACCGGCACCGACTTGGGCCAGGCTCGTCCTGGGCCCATGCTCGGCGTGTACACGACTTACTGCCCTAGACAGGGCGGCGCACACACCAGCCTTGGGCCTCAAACGGGCGACGAAAAGAAACGGATCTTACGCGAGATGACACGGCGACCTTACGCGGCGGCTTACGCGGGCCACCAGCGCGGCACGCTACACTGGAAGCGAGGGCGCTTACGAGCGACCTTACGCGGGCAGCTGCCAATGTCGGTGAAGACGACCCCAATTCTTGCGTCTCTCAAGTGCGCACCACCAGGACCAGCGGTGTATAACCGTGGTTGCCCGCGGTGAACATGTGCCGCCTCATGAGGCATTCTGCGTGCTTCTGAACTGCGTGGGCCGCTCCGTCTCAAACGACTGCAGCTCTGCGACGGCGCCGAGCGCTCGGCCGACTCCGCGCCGCTGGCGCCGTTCAACCTCTCGCACACGCTCCGGGGCCGACGCTGCGCCCGCGCGGCTCGAGGCTACCGCAGCCGAAGCCCGAGGCAGACCCCTCCGCGCCGACGGTGGGGCTAAACGAGGCGCAGCAGAAGCAAACCAGCCTGCGTTCAGAAACCTCAGAGGACTCCCCAGAACCTCGCCTCCCCCGCGGACCCCAGACGTTGTGGTTTTTTGGGCACGTGGACCCCCCCAAAGTCTCGACCCCTTCCCAGGTACTGGTTTTCATTCCGCGGTCGTCTTTTGACGATCCTGGGCTCAGCGAGGGCCTCCGCAAGGTGCAATAACATCCGTTGCGTGATTGTTTTTCCACACTCGGATCAACAACCAAGGTGTCTGGCGGCCGTTCGGGACGATCCGTGCACCCCCGCGGCGGCGGTGCCCAGCTCCTGAAATGCAGCCCGAGGCCGGACAACGTCCAGTGAGCGACGAAAACGTCCGAAAACGCTTACGTATCCCGAACACGGCCTCCTCCTCCTCCTCCTGCTCCTCCTCCTCCTCCTCCTCCCCCTCCTCCTCCTCCTCCTCCTCCTCCTCCTCCTCCTCCTCTTCCCCCTCCTCCTCCTCCCCTCCCCTCCTCCTCCTCCTCCTCCTCCTCCTCCTCCTCCTCCTCCTCCTCCTCCTCCGACGACGACGACGACGACGACGACGACGACCACGACCACGACGGCGACACGTCTGGGAGCCCGCGGACCTCCGCCGCGTGACCCCCCGCGAGCGCGGCGGGCACGCGGCGCCCTCCCAGCAAGCGGCCTTGCACGTCGGTCGCCACGATGTGCACGCCCTGGCGGGGGCGCGCCGCGCGCCGCGGCGCGCCGCCATCGGAGCCGTGCGCGGGCGACCCTCGGCTATGCTTAAGTCGGGCGTGTCCCCCTACAGGGGGATTTTCGACGAAAAATAAAAAATACCCCCAAATTAATCAACACATAATCCCAAAATAGTCTGGGGACAATCTTTCGAATCTGTTTTGACCTCTTTGGGGCATTTTGGGGGTATTCTTTATGGGACCGGCCCGACTTGTGGCTACACGCAGGAGTGACCCTGGGGTACAGTCGGACCTGGGCCATCAGAACATCCTTTGAGAACATGAGACCCTCCGCCGGCCAAAGCACCCCAAGCCCTGAGATCACTCGAGGGTGCCCTCCCCCAGGATGCACGAGAGCAGCCAGCAAAAGCACGAAGGACACCAGGGCACCCCTCCCCGAACCGACCTTTCGAGCTTGCACCTCGGTTCGGCTGTGAGAGGGACCTCTGGTGTGCGGCTCTTCCGGGCCCGCGGGAGAGCCATGCACTATAGCGTTCTTAGACACTGCCGCCGCACCGCGCTCGGCGACTTGGGGACCCCCGCACCAGAAATCACTCCGGCGAAGGGTCGCTCTTGCGTGTTGTCGATTTGGACGCCCGAAATGGGTACGGAGAAAATGGGTACAATGCCCAACAAAGGTTGTGGTCCCAAACCAACCGCGGCCGCTGTTGGGCAGGCGGCCTTCTGCCTCAAATGGACACGGGCCGCGGCGGCGTGGACAGCGAGTCCTGTTCAAAATGAACAGGAGCTGCTGTTGAGCATTGTACCAGTTCGTTACGTACCCTGAGATCCTGAGATCCTCCGGTCCCGAGTCGAGACCCTGAGATCCCCCTGGGTCGGTCGTCCCGAGTCGAGACCCTGAGATCCCCCTGCGGCGGGAGACTCGAGGAAGCCGGCGCCGCCCGGCAGCCACCAAAGAGAGAGCCCAGGATCGAACCGATGAGCCGGATCTCTGCAATCGGAATCAATCGATCGGCAGAAATCGGCAGGCTAGTATGCCTCCAGTGAGAAATCGGATCCCAAATGGTAGTCCGAGGTCGAGTCCAATCGGAATCAGAAACATCGAACTCGAAACGGATCGAATCGGAGGAACCGAAACGAGCCCTGCCCACACTTCGGCGCCGTCGCAGCCGCCGCAGCCGTCGTCGGGGTATTCGTCGTCGCCGACGCCGTGGCCGGAATCGTGGCCGTCGCCGTCCGCGCCGGTGGCCGCCGCAGACGGCCTCGACCGCCGCCTCCCCGCGCCCTTTCGAAGTCTGGGCGTCTTCGCCCAGCTTCGGGCCAGGACCAGGACGGAGCGATACAGCGAAAATCCATAGTAAGGATGGGCAAGCTTCCCGAGGGCACCCTGGCGTCCCTCGATTTGCTCGGCAGTGCGGCCCTAGAAAAGCGTCAATTGGGGCGTCCAAGGACCGTCCAAGGGCCAAGGGTCTTGCCGCAAGACTACTGCGTCCTTACAGTGCGTCCTTACTTCACCAGCCTGGAACATATCCCTATCCCTGTGCTGGGCACCTCCTCATCACGATGCCAATCTTAGGGATTTCCTTATGTTTTGAGGGCGAATCCCTAAGATTGTCATCGCCTTTTGGCGTGTCAATCTTAGGGATAGGGATACGTTCGAGGCTGGTAAACACTCTCGGAGGCCCGCGCGGATCTTTCGGATCGGCGCTGGCCCTCCCCCCCTCCATAGAAGGCGGGCGCGCTCCACTGCTCGCAAAGTAGCTGCTCGCAGATGGCCCGGATCCGCCGCGGGGGATCTACGATTAAAATTGCATCCAAGCCGACATGTGCTTCTGGCCATCGCTCGGACGTCCACTCCCTGTGTTTTTTTTTGGTCTCGTGCGTGGTCTTTTCGCCCAATGATCAGCGGATGCTCCTCGATGGTCCTCCTCGAAGGAAAAATGCACACGTCCGAGCGATGCCAAGTCTCAGGCGTGGATCCGGAGCCGGAGCGGCTGGGGCCTCTGCAGACCGCGCGCTCCGAAGACAACCTCGGCGCAGGTGTCAGGGCCAGCAACACGTTCGGAGGCATCTTTTGGATCGGCGCTGGCCCTCCTCCCCTCCATTACAGTCATCGTCCGAGCGATGCCAAGGCTTCTCGGACGTCTGCGAGGAGCCACTCTGCGAGCTGTGCAACGCGCTCGGAGATCCGTGGAGCGCAGGGCGCGCGGGGGGCGGCGCCCCGGACGCGCCGCCGAGGGGGGTGGGGGGGGGGGGGAGGGAGAGATATAGGGAGGTAAGGAGTAGGGAGGGATTGAGGGAGAGGGGAGGAGGAGGAGGAAGGAGTGAGAGGAGGAGGAGGAGGATGAGGAGGAGGAATGAGAGGAGTAGGAGAGGAGGGAGTAGGGTAGGAGAGGATGGAGGAGGAGGCGTAGAGGGAGGGAGGGAGAGGGGGGGGAGAGGGGGATGAGGTGGGGGAGGAGGTGAGGAGGGTGAAGGAGGAGGAGGAGGGAGGAGAGGAGGATGGGAGGAGGGGCTAGGCGCGCCGCCGGAACCCGGGAGCCCCGTGCGGGCCTGCCTCCGCACCTGTTGCGGCAGAAGCCTCCGGAGGCCCCTAACTTGAGCATGCAGTCGCCGACATGACCTAAGGACGATAGATAAGGTGATGGCCTGTTTTTTCCGACCACCACCACCATAAGGTTGGAGGGGGAGGGGCTCCTCCTCCTCCTCCTGTCCGTCCTCCTCCTCCTCCTCCTCCTCCTCCTCCTCCTCCTCCTCCTCCTCCTCCTCCACCTCTTCCCCCCCTCCAACTTATAGTGGTGGTGGTGGAAAACAGGCCCATCATAAGGAACGAAGCCAAGCGGCCCCTGAGAGCTTCCCAAGAGGCCCACAAACTACCCCCACGAGGCCCCCAAGAGCGCGCGTCGTCGTCGTCGTCGTCGTCGTCGTCGTCGTCGTCGTCGTCGTCGTCGTCGTCGTCGTCGTCGCCATTCAGGGTCGGCGGCACCGGCCGTAAGGCCTTCGCAATAAGGAACGAAGCCCCTTTTTTCCAAGGAATAAAACTCATCAGGAGCGACAAATAATACATGACGCACAAGGAGCGATCAACGACGCACGCAAACCTAAGGAACGACCGAGCCCCTTTTCAAAATGGAGTGTTCCTGATTCAAGCAGTTCACTGTAACCCATGCATGTGTGTTGCGCCTCCCTCCAGCCGGGGACCTTCTGACCCGGGTCAAACTCAGACCCGGGTCAGAAGGAAACCAACAAACTGACATGCAGGACCAGAAAAACTGAAATGCGGGTCTTTGCCGAAGCCGGGCCAGCCAATCTGCGCGGCCGCCTCGCGGCCACGAGCGGCTCGCTGACCCGGGGCCAGCCAGAGGGGGCCTTCGCAGGATCCTGCCGGATCTGGTGCCCTGGCTGACCCCCGCTTGCACTGACCCCCGTCTCTTGGGCCCCGATCCAGTCGGCTACACGCAAGACCCTGGGTAAGAGGGACCGTTGGTGCGCGGCTTTTGGGGGGCCGCGGGGGGATCAGACTCAGGCGCGCGAGACGCTACTATCGCATCGCAATCGGTGATCGGGGGACCCCATCCCTGACCTTCCAGAGAGTTATTTTTTAGCACTGGAAGCCTAAAAACCTAAAAAGCTGAGCGAAACAGCCTGAAATCAAGACGTTGAATAAATAGCTTTGGGATAGGTTTTTACGACGGGTGCTACCTTTTAGCCCTCCTGGAAGGTCAGGGACTGTGCCCGCACCAAAAGGTCCCTCCGGCGAAAGGTCACTCTTGCGTGCAGTCGATCCAGGGAGGCCGGTGGCGCCCCCGGCGCCCCGGGCGCTCGAGGTCGCGTCCAGGGACGCGCGTCGGCGCGCCCGTCGCCGCGCGCCCTGCGCGCGAGCGCCGCCCGCAGGCGGCCGCCGCCCCCTCCCCGCCCGCGGGGCGGGGGAGGGAGGCCAACGAGCGCAGCAGAGGAGGGGGGGGGCAGGAGGATCCTCCAGGAAGCGCCAGCCGCACCTGATCTGAGCAGTTTCTTCGGGTGGAGGGCTCAGGGTGAAACCCATGTGGGCTCTCGCACCTCGAAAATCAATCCGTCTTGTGATTCACCTTTTGCAACTTCCCTCGAACATGCATATCAACGGCACTTCAGATTTCACCCTTCGCCATCCACCCCAAGAAAATGCTCGGCTTATGCAGTTGTGCTGGAGTCTCCGCGTCGTCTTGCAACTGGTGGCTGCTACCTGCTGCCAGGGCGTGCGTCGAGACTTGAATGAGCACGTGCGCGATTGATGGAGCCCAGCGGCGGGTGTGGAACGTGTGGCGAACGAGGAGGGGGTGCAGAGGAGAAGAAGCAAATGCATCACGGCAAGCTGTCGGAGGTCCACGCGGATATCTTGGATCTGCGCTGGGACCCTCTGGTGGCGCCGCTTGCGCCGCCCCCGGCCGGCTCCGCGCACGGGGGAGGGTATCCAGCTGAAGTACAAGAAATCCGCGCGGACCCTCGAAGTGTTTTTCCCCAACTAGGCTTGCCTGAGGGGTTCTTACTTGCTTAAAGGTTGGTGTCTCGGGAGGCTGCTTGGCCCGTTCCTCGGAGATTCTTCGGGTTCCCTGCCCCTGGTGCCTCCTTCTGTTGCGTTGCCCGTTTCCCACAGGTCATTCGGGTTCCCTGGGTTCCTCGGGTTCCCCACCCACGGTGCCTACGATTCCCTGATTAGGCTTGCCTAAGGGGCTCTTACTTGGTCCAAAGTTGGTGTCTCGGCACGCTACTTTGCCCATTCCTCGGAGGTTCCCCGGGTTCCTCGGGTTCCCCTGGTTCCTTCCTCGGGTTCCCCGAATTCCCTGGGTTCCTCGGGTTCCTCGGGCTCCCCGGGCTCCCTGGGCTCCCCGCCCCCATCGCCTCGTACTCTTACCTTGCCCGTTCCATGCAATGCCAAGCAATGCCAAAAGCGCGTTTCTTTATTCGAGGCGATAACGGGCGTGATGGGGAAGGGCCAGGGGGGGGGGGCATAACGTAACGCCCCCCCCGCCGCCTTGCGGTTCCGGCGCCGCCACATCGTCCGCGCGCACGCCAATGGGCGACGACGACGACGACGACGACGACGACGACGACGACGTGGGATTTCCTTTGCAGGGGCGCCACCCCTATGAGCCAAACAGCGCACCAAGCCCCAATCCCCATCAGGCAAGCAACCCCAAGTGCTGCAATTCAAGCGGTCGAATCGCCTTAGCGAAGTCGAACCCTCTCCGAAACCCTAGGATGATCCTCCTCCTCGTCCCTCCTCTTCCCCTCCCCCCCCTTCCGCCTCCTCAGCCCCCTGCGCCGCCGCCCGGCAAGGGGCCCCGGGGCCTTGAAGCCCGCCTCCTCGCCCAGGAACGTGACCCTGAAGGGCCCAGCGAGGAATGCCAGGATCCTGGCGCCCGCTCGGAGAAAACGGGAAGAGGAAGGTTGCGCCGAACTCGCTGAAACCCCTCCACCCTGCGAGCCGCAACCCCTGACCCAGACCGACGGGGAAACAAGCCTCTGACGGCCGCGCCTCGCAGCCTTCGCGCGCGGGCGCACGCACGGCGACGACGCTGCAGTCCAGAGAGCGACAGGAGTGGAGTGGAGTGGATCAAACCAGACAGAGACGATCCGGCGACCGACCCCCCCAGCCGCCCCCGCGAGCCAGGCGGGGGCGAAACGGCTCCTTCAGCGAGGAGGCGAACGGGCCGCAAAACACGGCGACGAAAACAATGTGCTGGGGCGCCACGCGCGCCCCCAGCCGCCCCTGGGCGCTCTCCCGAAGGGTGGGAGAGGTGGAGCACTGCCCCTCCGAAGAGGCGCACTCGCCCGGCCCCCCTAGGAGCTCTCAGCAAAATGCTGGCCGCAGCGGGCGCCGCGCAGACGAACTCCACGATGGACCACCTGCCAAGTCGTGCGCCCGCGGGCCAGCGGCCTCGACCGAGCTGAACCACAACTGCCACCACCCCTCCTCCTCGCGGCGGCCGCGGCTCCTCGAACCCGACTCTCACGAGCTGGAGGGCCTCGGAGGGGAGCCCGCGGAAGCCATCTCCGCCTCGATGGCCGCCAGCTCGGCGAGGGCGGCGGCGAGGCTCCTCCTGGCCTCGGCGGTCCGCTTCGAAGCCGCGCCCTTGCGCCGGTTGGCCGCCAAAACCACCGCCGACGCGGCAGCCTCGGGGTCCAAGGGCGGTTTGGGCGCGGCGCGGGGCATCGGGGCAGCCCTCGGCACACGTCGAGGCGGGCGGGGGACCGCGGCGTCGGGCTCGGCGTCGAGCGCGGCGGCGCCGCCAGCGCCACCTCGGCCATTAACGCCCGAATCATCACCGCCGCCGCCGCCGCGCGGGTCTGCAGCAGCCGAGGCGCCGAGCTCCTCGATCGTGGTGTCGAGGGCGGCGACGTCCACGCCCGCCTCCGCGGGGCAAGGCGGCGCCAGCGTGGCCTCGAGGTAAACCACCCGCGACCGCCGGTCCGCGAGCGCGGCGCCGAGGTCGTCCACGGCGTCCTGGAGGCCTCCTGGCCGAGGCTGCGCGCCCCCTCCCCCTCCTTCATCTCTCGGTCCTCCAGCGGCACCTGCCGCGGGGTGGGCGCCCTGCAGCGCCATGCGAAGCGCCTGGGCCAGGCCGCTGAAGCGCTGGCCGCGGCGGGCGTCGATGGCGGCGAACGCCGCCACCAGGTGCTCCGTCGCCCGCCCGTCCGCGCGGCGGTACTGGGCGCCGCGCTCGGCGGCGGAGCGGTTGGGCCGCCGCGGCCGAGGCGCCGGTGTCGCCATCCCGCGGCGCACGAGGGGGGGGCGAGGCGGGAGGGAGGCGGGAGGCGAGGCGGGGCGAGGGGCCCCCCGGCGCTGGCTGGCGCGTGCGGCCCCAAAGGGCCTCGGGCCGAGCTGGCGCTTAGGAAGAGCGACGGGAGGAGGGAGGAGGGGGAGGAGGAGGAGGAGGAGGAGGAGGAGGAGGAGGAGGACGAGGAGGAGGAAGAGGAGGAGGAGGAAGAATAAGAATAATAATAATAATAAAAATAAGAATAAAATAGAATAATAATAAGAATAAGAATAATAATAAGAATACTAATACTACTAATAATACTAATATGAATAAGAATAAGAATACGAATAATAATAATAAGAATAATAATAAGAACAATAATAATACTAATAATAATGATAATGATAATACTTAAGAATAATATTAATGATAATGATAATGATGGTAATAACAATAATAATGCTACTACTACTACTACTACTACTTCTACGTCTACTTCTACTTCTACTACTACTACTACTACTACTAATAATAATAATAATAATATTAATAATAATGATAAGAAGAAGAAGAAGAAGAAGTGGAGGGTTGATTGGTTGATTGGTCACGTCGCTACGCAGGAGGCCAGGATTGGGAGGGGAATGATCGGCGATCCAGCTCGGAAAGAGGTGGCCGAACTCCCCCAACGGACAGACCGACCACCCGTCACGCCACGCGCCAATACCGCCAACCCCCGCCAAGCAGTCGAAGCCTGGCAGGTCCTCACAGCACCTACGGCTGCGGCACCCGTTCGCTCCCGCTGTGCCCGCGCCGCGAAGGCAGGGAGGAGCGGCGGAGGGCCACTCGAGCCCACGGCGGGCTCCCCTGAGGCGTTCCGCTGCTTCCGTGCCTCCCGGAGGCTCTTCGGCGCCGCGGCCCGGTCCGCCTCGAACAGAACGGGCCAGGATGGACCACCCGAGGACTCAGGGGACCGAATCGGGGATCTTCTGACCCGCGTCAATCCTGAGCCGGGGTCGGTCAGGCCTTGCAGAATCCTGCAAGATCCTGCACCCAAACCCGGGTCAGTGCGAAGGATCCTGCAAGATCCTGCTGGATCCTGCACCCAAGCCCGGGTCAATGCGACCCTGTCCCTGCAGGATCCTGCAAGATCCGGCGCTCTGGCTGACCCCGGTTTGTACTGACCCCCGTCCCAAGGCTCCCGACCGAACTTGAGCGGCTGTGGGCCGGGCGGGAGAAGCGCCGGTGTCCAAGGGGGAGGATGGAGGAGGGAGGGAGGGAGGGAGAGGAGGGGGAGGGAGGAGGCACGGAGGCACAGGCAATCTCCGCCCCCTCCCGACAGGGAAGAGGGCCGAACTCTGGCGTCGATGTGACTGGGGAGGGTGACGACGTGCATGAGTGAGGAGGATGGCGGTGGCAACAGCGACCACCACCACGATCCGCCACCGTGCCTGCACGGAGTGGGCACGTTAGAATGCCCGTCTGCTGTCTGGGACGTTCTGTAGAGTTCTTAGCTGCCCCGATACGCGACACGCAACACATATCGTATTGATGCGGAGCTCTACACGTAGGCTGAAAACGTAGGTCCGACGCGACATACTCGCCAAAACGCGGTCCAATGCGTGGAGCCCACACGCAACGCATGGACACGGACGTCTTGAACACGGGACGTATGGCGCTTCAGAACGGGAGTGCCGAGGCAACTAAGGTAGAGTTCTCTATAGGGGAACGAAAAATGGCATAAACATAAAAACTCACATGTCCGCGCGGATTTCTCGGATCCGCGCTGGACCCCCTTGGCGGCGCCTCCGGTCCTGCTCCTGGCGCGCTCCGCGCGCCAGGGAGGGGGGTCCAGCGCCGATCCGAGAAATCCGCGCGGACCTCCGAGTTTTATGTTTATGCCACTTTTCGTTCCCCTACATTCGGGGCGTTGACCTCAGGAACCCTAAATAAGGAACGAGGCCCCTTTTTTGTCCATAACTTGAACTTCGATTCCCTATCGAAAACAGAAGGAAAACCTGAGGCAAGCTGTGAAACACTTGAGGAACGCGGAGCCCCTCCCCAACCAAAAGGGTTCCTTCTTCAGGGCCCCGACTGTACAGCTTGTCCTGGGTCGTCCTCGCGTCGTCCATGGGAAGTCGAAGTTTGTTCGACCCATGGAAGAAAAAAGGGGCCGCGCTCCTTGCTCGGGGTTCTCTCTATGGCAGGCCCCCCCCCCCTCGCCGCGCGCACCTGCCGAAAGCCGTCCTCGGCGTGGCCGTCGTCGTCGTCGTCGTCGCCGCCGCCGCCGTCGTTGCCGGCGGCGGCGGCCTGCCTCTCCCGAGGGGCGCGGCGCCCTCCCCGGGCCGGCCGCCCCGCCCGCCGCCTCGCCGCGCGGTCCACTGTGAAAGGCCCCCCCCCCCCCACACACACACACACACACACACACACAAATAAACACACACAGACACACACACGCACACAGACACACACACACAGACACACACACACACACACACACACACACACACACACACACGCACACACACACACACACGCACACGCACACACACACACACACACACACAAACACACACACAAATACACACACAAGTACACACAGAGAACAGGATTCACCACGGTTTCCCATATGTTCTCTGGGTCTTTGTCTCCCCCCCCACTTCCCACATCTTCCCATCTTTCCTGGGGAATCGACGATGCATCCTGCCTGTGTGTCTTTGCCTCTCCTGGCAATCCTCGCGGTGCGCGCGCCGCCAGGCTCCCGCCCGCCGGGTGTCCTCCCGCTCGTCTCCTCGGCGCGCTGCGTCCCCCGCTCTGCCTCGGCCCAGGGAGCTCCCAAAGACGGCCTCGGCTGCCCCCCACGACGGCCTCCCAGGCAGGCCTCGAGGCGGCTCCAGGCCGGCCTCGGAGAGCGCTCCGAGGGAGCCCAAGACCGCCCGATGGCCTCCCAGGACGGCCCGGGACGGCCTCAAGACGGTCCCACGAGGCCCCCCGAACCAGGGCACTGCGGACCAGGACTTTTTGGACACTCCACCGGGGGAGAACGGAGAACGGAGAGGGTTTCGACCCCATGGCTGCAATTTTCCATGTTCTCGTCGTCGTCGTCGCCGTCGCCGTCGTCGTCGCCGTCGTCGTCCTCGTCCTCGTCCTCGTCGTCGTCGACCTCCTCCTCCTCCTCCACCTCCTCCTCCTCCTCCTCGTCGTCGTCGTCCTCGATCTCGCCAGCGTCCTGGTTTACACAAGACCCCGTTGAGGGGGCCCTGCCCGGCCCGCACGCCCTCGGGCCCCGTCGGTGGCTGCACCCTCGCGCCCTACGCGCGCGCGAGCACTCCAAGGCGGCAGCCTGTGAGGCCAAAAGCCTGCCGAGCACCGAAGGCGAATCCTGCCACGCCTGCCTGCTCGCACGCGCCGGCACCGGCGTTGTAGTCCGTGCCGCTGGGCTCCATTGCCGCCTCGCGCAGCTCGCCAAGCAAGGACAGCACGTGCTGCCACTGCCGGAACTGCTGGCACGCACTGATCCCGGCGCTGTAACTGACGGCGTCCAGGCCGAACTTCGCCTCCCACATCTCCCTGAGCAGCGCGAGCCCCTGCTCCCACTGCGCACCCTTCCCGCACGCGCTGATGGCTGCCCCGTACGCGATAACATCCCCCGCCAGCCTCACCTCCCACATTTCGCTGAGCAGCGAGGCCGCCTGCTGCCACCGCCCACCCGTCGCGCACGCGCTGATTCCGGCAGTGCAGCTGACAAGATCCAGCGCAAAGCTCGCCTGGCGCAGCTCGCCAAGCAGTGACAGGGCACGCTGCCACTGCCCAGCTTTCCCGCACGCCTTGACTGCGGCACTGTAGCTGACAACATTTGGTTCCAAGTGTGCCTCGCACAGCCCCCTCAACAATGATAAAGCATGCTCCCACTGGCCGCCCTTCTCGCACGCGCTGACCCCAGCGCTGCAACTGACGACATCTGGCTCCAGCTTATTATCCCGCATCTCGTCGAGTAACGACAGTGCAGGCAACCATTGCCTACACTTTTCGCACGCGCTGATTGCAGCGTTGTAGCTGATGACATCTGGCTTCAGCATCGCCTCCCACAACATGCCGATCAGCATCAATGCCTGCTGCCACTGCTCGCCCTTCTCGCACACGCTGATTCCAACATTGTAGGTGACTAGGGCTGACCCGCGGCCCCCGGCCGCGGAGTTTGCCCGCCCTGGCGTGCACGTGGAAATGGAGCGTCTCTGGGGCCTCGCGGGTAAGGGGAGGTTGGAAGGGGACGTTGTGGATGGAGGTGGGCGCTGGAGGGGAAGGTGGGCGAGGGATGCAGGCAAGCAGGCCTGAAGGCAGGAACGCAGTGGTGGAGGCGGTGTCAGTGGAAGCACACCCATGTAGGCATGACATGGTGTGGACAGAAGCTGTTTCTGACGCCGCAGTCTGTGTTCATCATAGCTTCTGCGGGAAAGGTAGCCGTGAGAAGTTGATCTGCTCTTCGCTGGGGCCGAATGATAATTTCATCTGTCCATGTGGTGACAATGGGACCAGTGGGCGCGGCCTAGGAGGCCCGCAAGAGGTGGGCGAGACGGGACTCCCTAAGAAGGGCCCCCTTGGGGCTCACCTGGAGGCCCCCCTGGGCCGTCTTGGGAGCCTCCTGGCCTGCCTTGGGGGCCTCTGGGGCTGTCGTGGGGCTCCCAAGAGTGCTCTGAGGCCGTCTTGGCGCCGCCGCCCCCTGGAGCCTCTCGGAGCCGTCCCGTTGGCCATTCTTGGCTGCTCTTGGGGCTGTCTTGGGTGCGTCCTGGGCCGCCGGGGTCGTGTGGGGCTCTTTGGGGGCCTCTGGGCGCGTCTTGGGGCGTGGTGGAGGTCCTGGTTTGGGGTCGTGGCTTGGGGTCTTCTGGGGCCAGCTTGGGCGCCTCGTGGGCCATCTTGGGGCGCTTGGAGGCCTGGTGGGCCGTCCTGGGGCGGTCTTGTGGGTATCGTCGGCCGTCTTGGAGCGTCGGCCAGCCGAGAAGGCGAAACGGCAAAACTCTTTGAAAAACCAGTGAGACATTACGCCACCGAGGAACCCCACATACCTATTGTATTTCCCATGTGTACCATCGGTGCTTCTGCTGCTGCTGCTCCTCCTTCTTCTCCTCGGTGTCCTCCTCCTGCTGCTGCTGATGCTGCTGATGCTGCTTCTGCTGCTGCTGCTGCGTCTGCTGCTGCAGCTGCTGCTGCTGCCGCTGCTGCTGCCCCACCTCCCCGTCCTCCTCCTCCTCCTCCTCCTCCTCCTCCTCCTCCTCATTCTCCTGCTCCTCCTCCTCCTCCTCCTTTTCCTCCTCCTCCTCCTCCTCCTCCTCCTCTACCTCCTCCCCCTACCTCCCAGCGCACCCCCTGTGGCGTCGAGGACATGCCACGCCTGCCACGCCCTGGGAGCCTGCAGCGCATAGGGCCCCCACCCCCAGCGCACCCCCTTGTGGCGTCGAGGAAGTGCCACGCCTGCCACGTCCTGGGAGCCTGCAGCGCATAGGGCCCCCACCCCCAGCGCACCCCTTGTGGCGTCGACGAAATGCCACGCCTGCCACGCCCCGAAAGCCTGCAACGCGTAGGGCCCCCACCCCCAGCGCCCCCTTTTGTGGCGTCGAGGAAATGCCACGCCTGCCACGCCCCGAGAGCCTGCAACGCATCGCCCCCCCCCCACCCCCCCCGGCGCACCCCCTGTGGCGTCGAGGGAATGCCACGCCTGCCACGCCTTGGGAACCTGCAGCGCGTAGGGCCCCCACCCCCAGCGCACCCTCTGTGGCGTCGAGGAAATGCCACGCCTGCCACGCCCTGGGAGCCTGCAACGCATAGGGCCCCCACCCCCAGCGCACCCCCTCTGGTGTCGAGGAAGTGCCACGCCTGCCACGCCCTGGGAGCCTGCAGCGCATAGGGCCCCCCCCAGCGCACCCCCTGGGGCGTCGAGGAAGTGCCACGCCTGCCACGGCCTGGGAGCCTGCAGCGCATAGGGCCCCCACCCCCAGCGCACCCCCTCTGGCGTCGAGGAAGTGCCACGCCTGCTATGCCTGGACGACCGTCGTGCATAACGGCCATATCGGGACGTGTCTCATGTGGGTGCCCACTATGTGGCGCACACGTCGTGGATGTGTGATGCAGTGAACACGCCAGGCGCGCACTAGCGTTGTATGGTGTGTGTGGGTTGTGTGCGAATGTGTGCATGCGTGCGGCTGTATGTAGACGCGTGTGTCATGTACTTGCCGTGCATGTGTTGAGCGCGGGTAAGGAGAGGAAGAAGAGGGAGGATGGGGAGGTGAGAGGAGACGCGGGTGCGCCGCGGCAGGGAAAAACACCCAAACCCCACGAAACATGCGGGGAATGAAAGATTTGGGCCTCTGGGGGCATGCGTCGGGGCACTGTTGGAGGCTCGTGGCGGCCTCTGTTGGACCACGCCTGCTGTTCTCACCTGAGATTGCGGATGCGTCCGTCAGCCTCGGCGACGTGAAGCACAGCGCTTGCAGGAGCCAGGCGGCCAGAACGCGCCGCCCGTCCAGGCGCGCGCGCGCCGCCGCCGCTGGCGTCCACGTCGCGGCCGCCGCGGCGGGGGCCTGGGCCTTGGCTCTGGCGGCGTCGTCGACGACGACGACGACGACGGGGGCGACGACGACGCCGGCGACAACGTCGACGACGACGCCGGGGATCGAGTCTTTAAAGTAGGAGTCCGGAAGCAGATCCCGGGGCAGCAAGTCTTTAAGCACCATCGCTGGGGTGGTGACTTTTGTAACGGATCCTGTGCCGTCGCCAGGGGGGGGACAAACCTTGCTTAGAAATGTTTGCTTTTCATGCGGTCGGCTGAGGTGGCCCCGAAGCAGCTCTCTGCTACGTCTTATATGCCTCACACGTCTAGCCGCAGCGGGGGACTGGGCCTTAGCTCAGGTGGCGTCGTCGACGACGACGACGGCGGCGACGAAGACGCTGGCGACAACGACGACGACGACGACGACGACGAAGCGCCGACCACGATGACCCCGACCACACCGACCCCGGGCCTGCAAGAGGGGCCTGCCAGAGGGAAGAAGGCAACGTCTCCAGCGGGGAGCTTTTCGTAATCGGGGCTGCTTGGGGCGTCCATGGCTGTCTTGACGGCGTCCCGTGTGGCCCGCCTGAGGCTATTTTGGAAGTCCTTTTTGGTCTTTCTTGAAGCGCGCTGGAGCCGTCCTGGAGGGCTCCGGAGCCGTCTTGAGGCACTCCGGCCGCCTCGGGGCTCTCTGGAAGCCCTCGCAAGCTTTCTCGGGGACCTCTTCCGGCCCTCTCGGGGCTCTCTTATAGGAGCCTCTTGGGGCTCTCCGGGGCCTCTCTTGGGCCGTCTTGGCGCTCTCGGGGGCCGTCTTCGGGCTGTCTTGAGCCGGCCTGAGGCCGTCTTGGGGGTGTTTGGGTCCGTGTTGGGGCGGACTTGCAGGGGTGCGGGGCCGTCCTGGATGCTGTGCACACCCAAAACGCGAGTGAGCCGAACATGTACATTTTCCCACAGGAATCAAACGATTTGTGCCTCGTGGGGCCTCTCTCGGGGGCCTCTTGGGGCGGCTTGCGGAGATCTTTGGCCGCCTTTGGCCGCCCTGAGGCCGTCTCCAAAGCGAGCGAAGCCGATTTTCGGGAGCGTGGGACCGTCCGCTGAGCCATCGGGGCACTCCGAAGACTCCGAGGCGGCCCGGATGGTCCCGAGAGTCCCCCTGGAGGGGCCCGGAGGGGGGCCCAGATGAGCCGGTTCGCTGCCACTCCGGGCCTCTCCTACGCGCTGAATCGGCCATTGTAGGAGAGATTAGGGCGAACCCGTGGACTTCGTCCACGTCATCTTGGTCCAGTCTTGGCTCGAGAAGGCCGTCTTGGGCCTGTCTTCGCTCGAAATGGCGAGAAGGTGGAAATCGTTCAAAAACCATGGAAGAATCAATGATTTCGTTTGCCGCGGCTCGTCTGGAGCGTCTTCGAGCGGTCTTGGGCCGTCTCGGAGGCCTTCTTGGACCGCTTCCTTCTCTTCGTCCACCTTCCGATCTACCTCCGCCTAGACAGCCTTCGGAGCGTCACAGACGGCTATGGTGGGTCTGCGGTGTACGTCTCGCCGCTTGTCAATTTTGAAAAGCACCTGGGGCCTTGAAAAAGGTACCCGGAGGGCTCTGGTGACTTTTTTCCGGTTGCCTCTTCGAAGCCTGATGGCGGGCGCTGCCGTCTCCTTGGGAACGGTTAGTGGGCCTCTCGGGGTTTCTTTTCGAGCTCCTGGGGGCCTGTTGGGGCCTCGTTGGCTGTCTTGCGGCCTCCTAGGGGCCTCTTGGGGCCCTCTTGGGCCGTCTTGCGGCCTCCTGGGGGCCTTTTCTCTTTAATTTTTTGTTGGGCGCCTCTAGGGCCGTTCCCGGGCTGTCCCCCCGAGCCTCTTCCGGGGGACAGCCCAGGAAATCAATTGTGCTTGCGCGCTGTGCGTGCGTGCTCCTGTGTGAGAGGTCGGAAAGGTGTCCCGACGTCACCGCTCGTTCTTGGGAGCTGTGCCTGGAAGAGCTCTCTACGCTGCGTCTCGCTCTTGGGAGCCTTGGTGAGAAGAGCTTTGTACTTCACCGATCGCTCTTTTAGTGGGCGTCTCTGGGCCTGCTTGGTGGTCCTTGTGTTTTTTTTGTCAGCCATTCTAAAGCTTTTCTGGGCTGTTCTAGGAGCGTTTTGGGACGTTTTTGGGGCCTTTTTGGGGCCGTCGCGGGGCGTCCGGGAGGCCTTGGACCGTCTTGGAGCTCTCTTGAGGCTGCCTGAGGCCGTCTTGGGAGCCTCTTGGGCCCCCTCGGAGCTCTCTTGGGGCCGTCTTGGGGTTCTGTGAGGCCGTTTCAGGGCTCTCTGGCGTCTTGGGGCTCTTGTGGGCCGTCTTGGAGCCCTCTTAGGGGCCGCTGGCGTCTTCTTGGAGCGATTTGGGAGGCCTCTTGGCGTGTCCGGGCATGCTGAAAATATACGTTGTCCCATCGGAATTTGACGATTTGTGCCTCTTTGGCGTGCGCTCGGGGCCCTCTATAGGGCGTCTTCGCGGCCTCTTGGATCGTCGTGGAGCCCCCCCGAAAGCTTCGGGCCGTCGTGGGCCGACCCACTGAGGCCGTCTTGGAGCGCTCTTGGACGGTCTGGGAACCCCTCTGGAGCGCCTCTGGGACCGGCCTGAGCAATTCAGCCCCG